AAAGATAATATGTGTATATATATATATATATATATATATATATATATATACCTACTCAGTCTCATCTAATGTTAAGCACTTCAAATTAAAGACAGACATTGGCATTGATATCATAATCTCATATTTGCACACATGAACTATTCCTCACAGACATGCATAGACATTCTCCATTCATAAACATGCTGGCCACAGATGCAACCCCACACACACACATGATGGAGTTGATGACTACCACATGGCAGGATGAGGATAGTGTAGTGGGCTGGACAAGGAGACCCCTACTGGTGTTACTCTTAATACCTCTCCTAATAACAATGTACTTTGTATGTGTGTGTGTCTAAGACAGTGATCCTTCCTGTTTGATTCCCCCCCTGCTCCTCTAGGCCTAATCCCGAAGTTCGTGGGAGTGTTTTAGGGGAAGTGAGACAGTCAGAGAATGTGTGTAGAGAAAAACAGAAGTTACACTACAAGAGCTATTTTTAGAGAGTAGAAGTAAATCTGTTTCTCATGATGTATGTAAGAGTTGTCTATGTGGTAAACTGACAGAGAAAAGTGTTAACTCTTGAAACCACTGGTGTTGAGGCCGCAGTTGTCGTTTAATTCATTGTGTTGAGAAACAAACGGAATGTAAGCATCTTTATTAGTGTATGACTTTCTTCTCTTGTCTTGCACTCATCTGCTCTCTTCAACCTCCTCCTCACAGATCCACATATTAAGGTCAGCGGAAAAAGGGAAGATGTGCGAGAGGCAAAAGAGAAAATAATGTCCGTTCTTGACACAAAGGTAACTGCTAAGCTTATGATTGTCATGGAAAAATCTGGTCTGTATGGGTTACTACAAACTACAAATTACTACAAAAACCTACTTTTCTAAACCAGTATCTAAACCAGAATTTTATTTTCCAGAACAAAACTCGAAACGTCTTAAAAGCGAAATATTTTTGTGTAAACCGTGGTACATTTTGTTTTCAGGATTTGAACAACATTCATTTGAAATCAAAATCTTTTGTAACATTACAAATGTCACTTTTGATCAATTAAATGCATTTCCGCTGAAGTATTCATTAACTTTACAAAAATCTTTCTGACCCCAAACTTTTGAATGATAGTGCATTTGAAAGCAATCTACTAAGAGTTAGGAACAGGATTAAAGGATTTTAATTCAGCTCTAATAGGTTTCCATGAATGCTCTGTTGTTTTTCTAAATGATGACCTTTGACACCTACAGAGTAATCGTGTGACCATGAAGATGGATGTATCGCACACCGAGCACTCGCATGTTATTGGGAAAGGAGGGAATAACATCAAACGAGTGATGGAAGAGACTGGTTGTCACATACACTTCCCTGACTCCAACAGACACAGCCAGGGGGAGAAGAGCAACCAGGTACACACAAACACACACGAAAATAAAACAGACCCAACCAAGACCAGCAGATCAGTTTTTATTTTAGTAAAAGTTCACTTTAAAAATTCTTTCATGTGCTGATGCTTTTGTTTTTTCAAAGCTGTAAGATGACACAACTGATGATGTCATTGGTTCTTGCATGTATTGTGACTAATTGTGATGCACTTGAGGGAATATTTCCAGCAAATAATTACTTACATTTTGGTCTTAAGAAATATAGTGCACAAGTCATAACATTTCATTGCACTTTTTGGTGTTTTAATGTTTTATTGTGCAAAATTCATGGCTTTTATGTTCTGTGGAAGAAATACATTTATACAGATTTTAAAAGACATGAGGGTGAATACATGACAGAATTTTTATTTTTATTATCCCTGCTGTGGGAATATGTTTAGCAGATTTTTGCAAAAAAAAGCTAGCATTTACTACCCAGCAGTGGCTGAACTCTAGCTGAATCATTTTATTGGCTGAAGGACATGAAGCAGTTTGTATTGGCTGGAGGATAAGAACGGTTTGGAGGATGATGGATCTGATTGGCTGTTGGACAGCTCTCAAGTTTAAATAGACTGTTGAGTGGTCTGACCAGGCGTGCAGACAGTTTGGAATGTTAATAGCGTATACAAGTGCATGCATGGACAAACACCGACTTCAGAGCCAAACCAGATGGACTCTCTGAACTGGGCCGAATCACCTGGTTCCAAACCGGAATTAATTCTCACAGGCCGTGATTAAACGTGTGGTTGTCGGGATGAAATGATGGAAAGAAAAAAAACATGCAGGACCTTAATTAGGGTTATTTTTTTTGACTGGCACACTGCCACACACATACTCTCGTGTAATGTTTTGATGGGTAATAAATCAGGTTTCTGGATGGGACACTGTGTCTTATTTAAGCTTAACATAAAATGCTTACAGGATGAGAGAAAGGAATAAACATCTGCACATGTAATGAAGAAAGATCATGAAGTACAATCACTTCTTTGTCTCTCTGTTTTTCTCTCAGGTGTCGATAGCGGGGCAGCTGACTGGTGTAGAAGCAGCGAGAGTTAAAATACGGGTGAGAATTTGTTTAAAGTTTACCTGTGCTTTACAGGCTCTCTTTCTTTTTTTTCATAGCCACTTGTCACTAAGTGCAGATTTCAAACTGTTTGTTGCCACGTTTCACATACAAGGGAACATTTATAATGTAGCAAGGATTATATTATAACAACAAAATCTTTTGTGACTGTGCTACATCCTAATCAATTTAAAATATTATGTGTAAATAAATCATTTTTGTGAATATGTTCAATTAAGCTGACATCTTATCTTTTTCTACCCACCATTAGAGTAGGGTCTTTGGCCAGCTCAGTGCTGGTCAGCACACAACTGGACATCGCACCCCAGCACCACAACTTCCTTCTGGGCCGCAACGGAGCCAACGTCAAGAATATCTCCCAGCACACTGGAGCCCACATACACTTCCCCGAGCTCAACACTCACAACACACACACTAGCCGCTCTGTCGTCTACATACAGGGCAGCATTGACGCTGTATGTGTGGCTAGACAGCAGCTAATGGTACAGTTTGTCTGTCTTTTTTCTATTCAGTCATATGCTCTTTAATTTACTATCTCTCTCTATGTTTGTGGCCAATCTGTGAAACAGAACACATGTTATGTTTGGATGAAAGTCACTGTAAGTACTGACAGATGATTATACTCATACTGGGCTTGCTGAAGACCATGAGGCTTTAGAATGTGCCCGATCAGAGGGATTTCAAGACACATGTCAGACTTATTCTTCTCCTCTGCTCTTGTTTTTTTCAAAACTGGAAATGCAGTTTAGCCATTTCAGACTATTATCTTATCTTATAGGTCTCATAATTGGCATGTGTAAAATGACATATTTTCAAAATCAATTGTGAATTTCCTGAAGGAGTAGGAGACTAATCAGCATTTATATTTTAGTATTATTTATATACTATTATAGAATGTTATATTCAGTTTTCATTTTAGTTTGTTTTTAGTCATTTTTTCAAGATTTTTATTTAATTTTAATTAAATATTTTCAGTTTTAGTACATTTTGTAGTTCAGCTTAACGTTATTTCATTTAGTTGCCAAGGCAACATATCTAATTTCCATTTAAGTTTTTTAATCGAATATTTATATTTTATTTTATTGCAGCTTTATTTCAATTCATAAAAATTATTTAAAGGAATATTCTGATTTCAAAAGTTAAGCTCAGTCAACAGCAATTGAACAAAATATCTATAAATAATAAATATTATAGATAATATTATTATTTTATGAATATTAATAAAAATATCACATTAAACAATAATTATAATTGTCATGAATAAATATAGTATATTAAATATAATAATTATAGTATATGAAAATACAATCATTCTAAATAACACATTTAAAAAAAAAAAGCTATTGAACCTGGAACATTACTTTAAGGAAACTTGGTATAATTAGGCTAGTTTTGGGATTATAACATGCAAAGGTGTGTTTTTTTGGGATTAATTGTATATGTGTGTCTGTATATTTTAGGGCTGTCTGCCGTTGGTGTTGCTGTTTGACATTAAGGAGGAGATGGAGGTGGCATCTCAGGTCGTCACTACCCTTATGGAGCAGCTGGACGTCTTCATCAGTATTAAACCGAAACCGAAACAACCCAGCAAGGTAATAAATACCCAGCTCTTTGTGTATATGTGGTACATTTAGCCTTGGTCACTGACTATTTGTCTCTTTCTCAGTCTGTGATAGTAAAGAGCGTGGAAAGGAATGCTGGGAGTATGTATGAGGTACGCAGGATCCTGTTGGGGCTGGAGTCCAGCTGTGTGCCTCCTCCTATCAACCATGTGGCTGTTAACGGACATGCTCCTGCCTCCCCTCCCCTGCCTGGCTCCATTGGACTGGACACCCTAGCTTCAGCCGGACTGAGGCTAAGCACTCTGGGTAATGTAGTTGTATATTTAGATATATATTTAAAAAAATATGTTATGGCTTGTGTAAGGTACATTTATGATGTAAAAGTAATTCCTTGAATGTGTATTCTAAGCAAGGCCTGTTTATATCAATACAACATACACAGTCCTGCTTTAGCTCTGCAGTCACTATAATTACTACTGTCTGTGTTTGTAGATTACCACTCATGCTGCCAAGCAGATCCATAATAAACTACAGCTGTTTATGTGTGTATTTGTGTTTGCCTGTGTTCCACATTCACTCACACACTATTAGTGTGACTTAAAACAGTCCCTTCTGTTGTTCTCATGCACAAATTATGGATATTTGCAATACAGTTACATTATCCGTGTCATAATAGCAATAAAAAGTTAGCAGTCGTGCTGGTAACAGTAGCTCGGTTTCAAAACCTTGCAAGCTTTTACTTTTTTAGGTATTTAAGGTTAAATTATGTTTCCTTGTAATAAAACAATTTGTAGTCAAATCAAGGCTGCATCACTGCCTTTATGGATAAGACAATGGCGAAGTGCATTATTATTTAAAAAATAAAAATCCCAACAAGGGTTATTATTGTTAATTAAAACTGAAACCTAAAAAAAAACTTTTTCGTAACTTGAAATGAACTAAAATTTAAAACAAAAACTTTTTGAAAATGTAAAATTTCAGATTTTTGATTGGTTAGGGTTAAAATAACTCAACTAAACTAAAACTTAAATCCTAAAAAACTTGCCTAAAACTAAATTAAAAACTAAAATTAATAAATACAAATATATAAAAAATAAAAATTACCAAAAAAAACCTAAACTAAAAAATAAAATTGAATTAAAAAAATTTACAGAAAGTGTATCAATGATACTAAAATAGCACTGGGTCCAAGTAGTATGCTAATATTCTTGGTTGTCGAAATGTCTTAGGCTGTCTCTCACTTGATAGTTACATGTTTCCTTGTAATAAAACAATTTGTAGTCAAATCAAGGCTGCATCACTGCCTTTATGGATAAGACAATGGCGAAGTGCATTATTATTTAAAAAATAAAAATCCCAACAAGGGTTATTATTGTTAATTAAAACTGAAACCTAAAAAAAAACTTTTTCGTAACTTGAAATAAACTAAAATTTAAAACAAAAACTTTTTGAAAATGTAAAATTTCAGATTTTTGATTGGTTAGGGTTAAAATAACTCAACTAAACTAAAACTTAAATCCTAAAAAACTTGCCTAAAACTAAATTAAAAACTAAAATGAATAAATACAAATATATAAAAAATAAAAATTACCAAAAAAAAACCTAAACTAAAAAATAAAATTGAATTAAAAAAATTTACAGAAAGTGTATCAATGATACTAAAATAGCACTGGGTCCAAGTAGTATGCTAATATTCTTGGTTGTCGAAATGTCTTAGGCTGTCTCTCACTTGATAGTTACAATGGAACTAAATAAATACTATAAAAACTGTTGAAGTGTATACATATTGTGCACTAAAAATTTGATTGCTAATACTTCTGGTATTTACTTTGCACTTTTTCTTTTCTCTCGCTTTCATCAGATGGTCTTCTAAGGTCATCTGTCAGCTCCATTCCTAATGGCTCCCCGAACCCAAACTGTGTTTTTAATGGGCACGGCTCTGTGTTAAAGATTCAGAACGGAGCAGTGAACAACTCACAGCACATTCATACACCCTCACATACACATTCACATGCTCCTGGTCACACAGCTTCACTTTGGGCCAGTGCACTCAGTTCATCAGCTAACACAGCAGGTGAGTGTGTGCTCTTTTCAACCACACATATATTAAATATGTGTGTTACATAACCCCTTCTCTCTTTGTCCCTGGCTCAGGGTTTTCCACAGACCTCATGTTGCAGTCAGTGTCTCAGTCGACTCTCAGTGGTCTTCTGCTCTCTGGGGTCCAGAGTCAAGCACACGCTCACACACCGTCCCCTCCACCTGGACTCGTACCAATACACAAACCAGCCAATGCAGAACATCTCAATGGACATGTGAGAAACTTCATCAAAGTTACTTACTGTATGTGTAGACAACATTTTTAGGCATTATAGATTAAAATATGCTGCTTTTTAAGATAAGTATTTTTTGTCCAAAATCAAGGCAGCATCATATGTGTCCTTTATGTATAAGATGATGCCATAATGAGTGCATCTGTTTAAATTGTTTTAAACTCATTATGTTTCTTGTTTGTGTTTCTGCTGGACGTTGCATGTATGTTGCAGCTCGCCAGTTCTGTGTACAGTCGAATCTCCTCTGTATCACTGAACTCTGCCCACTGTGACACAACCCAGGAAGTCATTGGACACACCCAATTAGAATCCATTTCCAATAAATCTACAGATGAAGGTATAAAACACAAACTTTTTATACACTAAATAGACAAAAGTATTGGGAAACCTGACCATTACACCAACAGGGACTTTGATGACATCACATTCTAAATACATAAATATTAATAATGGAGTAGGTCTCCCCTTTGCAGCTATAACTCCACAGAACACGTTTCCTCTGCTCCAGAGTTCAGAGGCGACGTGCTTTTATGACTTTACACTGCGTATTTGTAAATGCAGAAGATCTATCTATCTCACATTTTTTGCAACCCTAATTCACTGCACAGTATTGATGCATTGTTATTCCACTCTGTGTATCAGGCTCAGATACGTTTGTTGAAGTGGGCATGCCCAGAAGCCCATCTCACTCAGCTAATGGGATTGAGCTGAAGCAGATGCTGGCCTCGTCAGGGAAACGACAAACAGTGGAACTTCTGCAGAGAACCAAGAACTCACTTCTTCAGTATGTTTAATCATAAAATGACCTTACATCATCATAATAATACAGTTATGTTTATTTATTTAAGGTTACACTGCAGCTGTGAAGTGCTCCTTAAAGTGCCCCAATTATGCAATTTTTAAGGTTCCTAATATTGGTTTGGGAGTTTCCAGCAATAGGTTTGCATTTATGCAAGGTCAAAAACTGCTTTTGTTTTCTCAAAATATGCATTTAATATCACCTCATTTTCCAACGATTCTCAAACAATTCGTTTGAAGCAGTTCTAAGATTCAATCTCTCTAAACCCCTCCTTTCCGTGAGCCTACTCTGCTCTAATTGGTCAGATGGCCCAGTCTGTTTTGATCGGTCTACAGAGTACAGCGCGTGCCTGAAACCATATGCCCATTGACATAGTTCCGTATTTTGAATGCTCAAAAATATAAATATATACCATCATGACGGGAACACAAAGACGGGAACACAAAAAAAGATTGGGGCTGTACTGCTGTGGTACAGTGGAAAAAATAATTAAAACCACTGATTCTTTGTAGCCTCATCTTTCAGAAGTGAAAATAAAACAAATTTACTTTCACAGCGTAGGACACAGCGTCTTCTCGACATGATGTTTAACCACATGAACAAGATACAGTGTTTGAGGGTGGGATCAAGTCTACGGACAACGTAGAAAATAGGCGGCTTTATGCAAATGTGACGTGTAGCTGTCACTGAAGTGGGTTTCGAATTACTGATGACTCGTTTAGGCTGTTCAGAGTCGATTCTTTCTTTTGGGAACAATAACTTTGCAGAATGTTTGCATTCACATACAGCTACATTACACACTGCATGAAAGGCAGTATTCGAAATGGCATAATAGGGGAACTTTACATTTTGTTTGCGTGTGTATGTGTGTCTGCAGTGTTGAGTGTGTGTTGGCCAATTCTGATTGTGAGAATCTAGTGACTGACAAAAGAGCTCCAGGAAGTGAGAGAGCTGCAGAAAGACGACTTGCACCACATATGCAGGTTTATATACACATATACACACACACTGTTCTCACATACAAGTGTACACAAAAATAGTCACACTGTGTATTAATGTTTTTCAGGCTTCTGACTATGAGAAAAAGAAGCTACTGGCCACTAAAGGTGAGCAAAGACTTGATCTCTTAATATAACATCTGAATGGGAAAATATACATGAAATAACATCTGAATATGAGATCACGAGTTAGGCTGTGGTTAAACAGCTGTGCTGTTTTTGTATAGCCATGCTGAAGAAACCGGTTGTGACAGAGATTCGGACCCCCACAAATACCTGGAGCGGATTGGGCTTCTCTAAATCAATGCCCAACTAAAATAACTTCACTGTTTTAACAGTGTCATTTTTTTTTCTGAGGGAACAACTGTGTTGTTCTAATTGTGCTACAGTCGTCTTGGAGTGGAGCATTATGGGAGAAATGTTTTTGTTTTGGATGTGACACTGGCATTTGTATCACAATTAAGTCTTTGACAAAGGGAACAATGTTCATGTTTTTGCCTTGTAAGAATGTTCTGTAAATCCAAATCAGTATCTCTTAAAATGGACAGAAGCCATTTGCTGCCTGTGATTGTGAGTGTTGCCAGAGTATTCCTCTCTGAATGTAGCAAAAATGGAAGTACAAAAATATTTCAAATGTTTGCCACTGTGGTTTTGTTCTAGAAAATAAAATGTTTTTGCAAGCCATATCAAATTATCTTTATATTTTACTATAAGTCCATAGACATTCAACATAAACTACAATTTATTTTGGTACACAATCAAATCAAAGAGAGAGAGTTAAAAAGGTATAGATGTATGGCTGTTGTCTGATGAATGCAAATGAAATGAGACTAACTGGCCAAGTTGAGACAGTAAAAGAGCACATTTAAGGTTGATGATATAACAATCTACAGTGGCACAGAGAAACTGAAAAAATCCCTCTGCTTCACACATCTCAAAGGACAGAGACAGGCACTTCTCTTTTGAAAGTAATAGCAAATACATGGGTAATTATGTGTGATTTTATGGTGTGTTTTGCATATCAGTGTTCATCTGCCTCTAAATAAGGGAACTGCAGGAACTGTGTGTGTGTGAGAGAGAGAGAGAGACCAGGGAGGGTGAAGCTGTCAGCATGATGTGAAAGAGTGCAATGCAAAATAAAAGTGAGTAATTTAACAAGCAACTAAGCTTTGAACCTCCGAGCTTTACTATTTTAGAACTTGCTTATTTAATTCTGTGAGACATAAACCACCCTAAGCTATTGAAACTGGAGACTGAAGATCTGATGCTGGAAGTGCAAAGCCGACCTCCGTACGTCATCCTCCCGGAGCTGCTTCCGTATACAACAGTGAGCGCAAGCTACATTAAAGTGATTATTACGTTTTAAATATGGTTATTTTTCTTACAAAAACGCATCGATTCGAGCCGTGTGAGAAACTTTTTATTATGGATGGGCGCTTTTTATTTAACTTCTTTTGGACTGATGCACTGCAACACCCGCTGACTGCCATTAAACAGCTTGAAAGATCAAAGACAATTTTTAATATAACTCCGACTGGATTCGTCTGAAAGAAGAAAGTCATATACACCTAGGATGCCTTGAGGGTGAGTAATTTATGGGCTAATTTTCATTTTTGGGTGAACTAACCCTTTAAGAAAAATAGTGTTCCAGTGAACGACTTATTCTCGTGCACTTAAATGCAGTGACTATTTTTCGCTTATGAATATGTAAAAATGACTGATGATAATACACAAGATTTACGTGAATTAGGCCTACTGTTATGAGTGAATTATCGATTCACTCATAACACGCCACCTACTAGCGTAAATGTCTGATGACCATACACAATGTAGAAACGAATTTTAATACAATATAATAGAAGCTGTTTCGGTCGTGAATGCGCACAGTGTTTTTAAATTTTTTTTGTATTGAATTGTTTACTCGCTATCTGATGTAAGGGTTCACTCACTGGACGAATTCAAAAGATTCGAATCACTGGGATGAATCAATATCCCCACCCTGTTCATGCAGGGGCCGATTCGGTACCAAATAAGGACACGAGCTCGACCGCTTGAAGTGACGTCAGTGAAATGGCTGGTGGAATAAGGAGTCTTTCTTCTGGAAGCGGGAGCAGAGGTACAGGGGGTTTGGAGTGTGCTGAAACTGAGAATTAACTATAGTGTAGAGCGTAATCTCGTTACATAAACCATCATTGAACGCGCCGTTCCTTCGTCTGGTCATTCGCGTTAATCCCTTTCTCCACACAGCGAAAACACTTGTGGCGTTCGTCGGAACGAGGAAACTTAAATACATTTCTATTTTGTCAAGATGAGGACAACTACCTTAATTGTATTGAGCCACTAGAATAAATTAATCTTCCTTATAGTGTATATGCTTCTGTCCTTGTGTCTATGTCCAACAGTGTGGTGGTAGTGGTGACGACGCGGTTTCCACCTCAGCGCCAAGGAAAAGAGAGAGAGGAATCAAGGCGACAGAGCACCAGACTCAGTCTACTTGGTTTTCCAAGCCGAAGCTGAAGAATTATTTCCAAAGACGTCCACGCGCCTCTGCAGACATGGAGGCGGCGAGTTTGGCACACGGGGTCGCGAGCCCGGTAAGCCAGCGCGAGGGCATGACCAAGAACGTGAGCCTGGAGTCGCTCCAGCTGTGCGAGAGAGACGGTAAGAAACACAGTGAGTGACTGTTAACTTGACAGTATTATCTACGCCTGTTTTCCCCGATTAACAAACCTTTTTTAAGGGATATTGTTTATTTTGAAATGTATTGAGCGCTTAAAGACTGTAGTAATACGGGGTTATGCATTGCTGCAGAAAAAAAATCGCCTGTCACATCCATGAAAAGCGGAATAGTGAGACATGGCAGGCTGCCTTTGTGTGTGCTGGCTGTGGTATCTGATCTCTGCTGTCTGTGTGAGGCTTTCGTTTCAGCACCATGGACACTACCCTCTTGCAGTCAGCTATCTTTTCTCTTGCAATCTCCTTTAATCATCATGCGGCCAGTCAAGCTGAAACCAAGAAACTGGTATTGTAAACCAGTAGAGAAAATAATATAAATATCAAAATAAAATAATCATAATAATCTCAGGTGCCCTAAAGCACTTAAGGATGCTGATGTGGCGGGGGTGAGGCTTTTTGACAGCGAGAGAGCTTCTATATATGTATTTATGTTCATTTTTGTATTATTTGTATATTTTATATACATATGTCATGCAATATTTAAAAATAATTGTAAAATATATTAATATCTTCTAAATGTAACTCATAACATACTTATAGTTTGCAATATATTTGTTTTCCGATATGTTGTTTCAGATCTATAAATATATATTTAGTCTTGTTAATACTTCATATACATAATATTCATATGCATAATTCATATACATAATGCAATATTATATATATATATATAGCATAAGGCATATATGTATATGCTACTTTTTTATATTTTATGTACATATATTATGTAATACATACATAATTGTAAAAATATTAGTATATACAAACCATATCTGATAATATAAGATACTTATATATTTAAAATATATACAATGTTTTGTATAAATAAATGTATATTTACAATTTGTTCTTGCTTATTAAATAATGGATAAACACATTTACTGAATCACTAAACTTATTTAGCTGTTTACAAGGAGCATCTGACATTTTTAACAGCTTCATGTTCATGGCAGAAGGTGAAGTCAGGTGCTTGTGCACACACACTGAGCAAGACCCACCTGCTGTGGCTTTTAAAGGTATACAGGCTTGATGTAGAGCCTTACATGAGGATACAGTATTTGCCTTTCACCTGATCCCTGTTTCCATCTAATTTTGTTTGAGTGGAATTGCAAGCCTATAAATGCAAATCCATTTAACTGAAGGAATCACCTTTGTCTATTAATAAGCATTACAACCATCAGTGTTTCAATAGTGAGCATGTGTTTGAAAAATGTCAAAATGTGTCATCCTCTTTAAGAATGACTGAAGCAACAAACTGCAAATATGCAATTTGGCAGGCTTCAGAAGAATGCAGCGTTCCTCTAAGGCTAGCACAATGACTCACCAGGTTTTATCTTCCCTACATAAATGTATTTGAATCAGCATTAATTAGCCTGAATAGATTGCTGTGCTGGCAGCACAGTGCTTCTTATCTCTTTGAGTTACCACATTTACACATCAGCGCTCGTTTCATTTTGTTTAATTGCAACAAGCTGAGGGAGTGCATAATGCACTGTTTTTGAGGTACTAATTGAACTCTAATGACCCTTATTTAGAGGCATGAGTGTGTTTCTAAGACATGAAGGTAAACATTCTCATTAAACATGGATCAGACTTCTCATCTGTTCAGCTGTCCTAACCATACACAGCTGTGTCTGATTTTAAACACCCTTATTTAAGATCTTTACAAGATGATGTTTTGGATATTTTTTATCTAAAAACTGTGCTCTAAAAGAAGATTTTAGTTAACATGTGCATTCACATGATGATTGAAACTGCTAGGATTGGCTAATTCTAACTCATCAGCTGAGTGCTGGTGTAAATATCTAAATCAGATTAGCTAGAAACCTGAATCTGTTCCATGCAGGATGCTGAGCAACACCTGGGAATTCCTGACTGCAGCTGGTAACACATGAACAAATACATTTAGAGAAATGTTGCACAAATAATATAAACATCATAATTTGTAATAAAGAATAAATTAGCCTGGGACTAGACTGTTAAAAATATGAATTCACTGCCGTCCACAGCTTGTTGTTATGCAAATGACAAATGTGTGTATTAATATGCAATTCTGTGTGCATTTTGGAGTGGGTCCAGAGATCATTAAACAAACTCTAAACCCTGCTAAACTAGCATTCTGCCACAATACAGAGACGTTTGCAGCTTGAACCTGCAATCTCGCTCTGTGTTGAAGCTCGTACAGGAGAAAAGCATTGTTTTCATGCACAGGGACCAATACTATATTGTAGTCTGTAGTCACATGCAGTGCTGTTTGCCCCCATAAAGACCTCACTGTAGTTTTGGATTTGTGAGTGTGTGGTATTTCGTATGTTAGATGTGCCATCTATACAGTCTGGACATTTCTGTTTTGCTTTATGTAATACTGCAGTTTTATGAGAAAGCTGCTCACACAAGCTGCTCCCCTGATGGATATTCGTGGTTGTTTAGGTGTTTGTGAAGGAGATATTTAAAATGGGGTTTGGTGATAGATTTATTTGAAATGTCTGCTGTTTCAGTACTGTAGGTACTTCTGTGTGTGCATGGCTTTAAATAGACAGTGGTCCCGCAGGAGGCTTTTAGCCATTATTAGAGTCGATATAGAACCAGACGCTCCACGCTTTTCCTTCCTCGTCTCATACTCTCCCATGATTCAGCAGGTAGTTCTCTGTCTGTGCTCTCCTACGTGTTTTGAGTCTCACATTGTTGTCTATATATACACTTCAATCTGTCTATATATTCATATATTGTCTATATATTCAACTTCAATCAGTTTGTGGTTGATTGATGTGTCTGCATTTGATCAAAATACAGTAAAAACACTAATATTGTGAATTATTGCAATATAAAATAACTGTTTTCTATTTTAATATATTTTATAAATGTATTTTATTCCTTCAGAAATCATTCTAATATGCTGATGTGGTGTTCAAGAAAGATTTCTTATTATCACAGTTGTGCTGCTTAATATTTTTGTGAAAACTGTGATACATTATTTCCAGGGTACTTTGATAATTAGAAAGTCTTTACTGTCACTTTTGATCAATTTAATGTGTTGTTGCTGAAACAGTATTAAGCTCTTTTAAAAGAAAAAAAAATCTTACCCCAAACTTTTTAACAGTAGTGCATGATGTATAAAAGGTTTTATCAGCTGTCTATCAGCTTTTGTGAGAAATAAAGACAATGAAAATAATTTCTGTTCCAGCAGTTCTGACTTTTGTTTACGATCTTAAAACTTAAGTGCCGATCACTTTGTATGCAAAGGTTCTGCCCATCTTCCTCTTTAAATTATGCTACATTGATTAATGGCCTTGATTTGTTTCCATGGAAACTGCCGTCATTGTTAAAGCATGTCGAAGGACCTGTGGGTGTGTTTTGAAGCTGGCACTTTTGTAGAGAGATGCATACTGCTGGTCTTGTTTTTAGGTGAAAATAAAGTAATCTCATTCATACAGACTTTATGAATCTGTTGTGAGTTTTTTTTGAATGACTGTTTGACCAAGGCTTCAATAAGATTACATTAACATTAGCTGGAGACAAAATTGTTTGTGTATGCTAAACGTATGCAGCAACAAACCAGTTTCTTAAAGCGTGAAGGAAAGCAGAAGTTCTGTAGTGAGAATATGTCAGAGAAAAGCAGAAGTTGATAAACAGACATCTGTTATTTGTGTAAGGGAGGCTGTTGGCAGAGGCGTGGTTTGGAGGGCTTCTTCTGTTAGAGCCAGTGTTGTGGGAGGACTAGTGTAGTACAGGAACATATCTATAACTCAGCCGAACATTGTGAGTACTATTATTTTTCTATAAGACATTTCACTGTTTTATTTGTGCATTTGTCTTCTTTCTTTTTTTTACTTTATATCTCATAAGTGCAACTTTATTTCTTGTAATTGTCATTTTATTTTCCATAATTGCGACTTCATATCTCACAGATATGACTTTTTACAACACAATGTGACTTTGTATTTCCAAATTATGACTTTATTTCTCACAATGTTGACTTTATTTCTTGTTTTGAACTTTATTTATTGTAATTGAAACAATTTCCCATAATTGTGACACAATGTGACTTTCTTATTTTTAGTTTTATCTCACAATTACATTTTTTATTTTTTATTCAAAGACAGAAACAGGCTTTTACAGGATTGTGCTGTGGTAAATAAAACAGAAGAGTTCTGTGGTCATAAGCAGGGGTGCATGAAACATACGCTATCATTCAAAAGTTTGGGGTCGGTAAGATTTTAATGTTTTTGATAATGTTTTTGAAAGAAGTCTCTTATGCTCACCAAGGCTGCATTTATCAAAAATACAGTAAAAATATTGCAAAACATTATTATACTTTAAAATATCTGTTTTAAATTGTAATATATAGCCTAAAATTTTCAAATGTCATTTATTTCTGTGATGGCAAAAAGCTGGCTTTTTTCCATTACTCCAGTCGTCAGTTTCACATAATCCTTCAGAAATCATTGGATACAATTGGATTCAATCAGGATACAATTGTTATTATCAGTGTTTAAAACATTTGCTTATTGCTTTCTGGAAACCATGATATATGTTTACAGGATTCTGTGATTAATAAAGTTCAGAACAACAGCATTTCATAGAAATAGAAATCTTTTGTAACACAGTAAATGTCATTACTGTCATTTTTTATCTATTTAATTTGTCCAAACTTTTGAATGTTAGTGTAACTTCAGGGTTCAGTAATTCATTTAGTGGAAGAGCATCTGTCCATATTCAGACATGTATCCTCCAATAAAGTAATACTCATATAGAGTTCATATTAGAGTAATTTCTTTCCAGAGGAATATGTCAGCAGTAGTAAAGAAATCGGTTTAGGAGAGAAAGGGCTCAGTGTCTAGTGAACAGTGAGCTGAGGGTGCTTATTGTACAGTAAAGCTTTATCATGACCCCATTCATGGTTTTAAGAGGCGGTTCAGTGTTCAATGTGCTTTGTTTAGTGTGTGTGTGGCATTCAGGAATCCCACATTCCTGTTGTGCATTTCTAGACACTAAGATAGCCCAGTGCCCACACTGTAGCCAACAAAGCACTTTTCTTGCTCTGTGTGATTGTGTATGTGGGTCAGTGTAGCAGTATTTATAGAGAAACACTTAAGTATCAATATTTCAAACAGTACAAGGATTTTTGACGTTATGCTTTCTTTCTTTATCTCAGGTAAGGCTGAGGATCCCGGAGTGGTAGGAATGGAATTACCTGTTGCTCGCAACATCAAGATCAGTAACATCACATGTGACTCCTTTAAGATCTGCTGGGAAATGGACCCTCATACCACAGAGAAGATCACACATTACTTCATTGATCTTAACAAGAAGGAGAACAAGAACTCCAACAAATTCAAACACAAGGTACTCAATGGTTCAGTTCACAACACAAATTATTTAGTGCTTTTTGTAAAAAAATAAAATAAAATAAGATGTTGCTACGTAAAATTTTAGTTTTCAGAATGACACTACAAATATTTGGTAAATTTTTTCATGTGACATTTCTCAACAGTTTCTACCTAGTCTGAGTATTACCTGGGGTTTCAAAGTTTGTAAAAGTTTATAATACAAATGGGCTTTTTTTGTGCTTTTTTATGAGAGAGTTTTAGCTCAATTTCATTCTGTTCTTCATAGTCATAATAAAAAAAGATTCAATTGATTAAATGTCATTAATTAGTAAATTCATTCCTTGATGACTCTCTGTCTTTAGGATGTGCCTACGAAGCTTGTTGCTAAGGCAGTCCCGTTGCCCATGACAGTGCGAGGCCATTGGTTCCTGAGTCCACGGACAGAATACACAGTTGCCGTGCAAATAGCATCCAAACAGACGGATGGAGACTACGCTGTATCAGAATGGAGTGACATTGTTGAATTTTGTACAGCAGGTAAATTACCCAAACACAAAAATACATATAAAAAAGAATACAAGACAAGACTGTACAGACTGTTTGATATACAAAGGTAATTAAACGTGCTGTAAATTGGCATTAGAAAAAGAGAAAATAAAATGTAAAAAAATAAAAAGTGAGAAAAATACAAATATGTGAAATCACTTAAGAATATAAAAATTAATGAGAGAGAAAAAATGTTTTTTTAAATACCTAAATAACTTAAAATAGGAGAATAAAGATAATAAAATGTTGTGATACTGATCAGCTTTTTATGTGGTTAGCAAGGCTAATGAAAATTGATGACAAATAAAAATATTTCCTTCAATTTTCTAGATTATTCCTCAGTGCATTTGACGCAGCTGTTGCAGAAGGCTGAGGTCATTGCTGGCAGGATGCTCAAGTTCTCCGTCTTTTACCGAAATCAGTATGAGGAATACTTCCAACACTGCAGGTGATGAAAAAAAAAAACCTCAGTAAAAAATGTTAAGGATATGAGAGAGAGAAGGGAAAGAGATAATAATCCTGGTTGAGGAAGATAATGATAATCTTTCTTTACCTCTTGAGATTCAGTTTGGCATTAGGAAGCAAACAGCTACCTCTTGTGGAATAATTTCCTCATTAATAAGCCAGGTTTACTTTCTGCTTTTTTATTTATATTTTCACTTACATTTATGTTCAAAAGTTTGGGGTCAGTACGATTTAAAAAAAAAGTATACTTTTATTATGCAGAGATTATTTAATCTGATTACAAATGACAGTAAATATACAGGTGTGTCTCAATAAATTAGAATGTCGTGGAAAAGTTAATTTATTTCAGTAATTCAACTCAAATTGTGAATAATATTCAATATATAATATTGAATATATATAATATTCAAATAAATGCTTTTCTTTTGAACTTTTTATTCATGCTGAAAAAATGTCACTGTAGAACTTATCATGGCAAAAATGTAAAGCAGCACAACTATTTTCATCATTGATAGTAATAAGAAATGTTTCTTGAGCACCAAATCAATAAATTATATTATAAATTATATTATAAACAGTTGTTTTAATTTGTAGTAATATTTCACAATAATACTGTTTTTGCTGTATTTTTTAATAAATGTTAATGTTAACAAATAAATGTTGCTTTAGTGAGCATAAGCGACTTCTTTTAAAAAAATCTAACTGATCCCAAATGTTTGAACAGTAGATTAATGATATAAAGACATGTGAATAAGGAAATTTAGAAATGTCTTTTTTTCTCTCACAGAGATGTTCTTGGCAGTCGAATGATGCCCTCGGTAAAGGATAACAGCGGTAGTCATGGTTCACCTCTCAGCGGTAAACTGGAGGGGATCTTCTTCAGCTGCAACACTGAGTTTAACACAGGTCAGCCTCCACAGGATTCCCCATACGGCCGATTCCGCTTCCAGATACCCGCCGAGGTTCTGTTCACCCCTGACACGCGCCTCTACTTTGGGGACTTCTACTGCATGTACACTGCCTATCATTATGTTATCCTCGTCCTGGCTCCCCGGGGCTCGCGTGGAGACCTTTACTGCAGAGATCGCCTGCCAGAGCTGGATGTGACGAACAACCGCTTTCTCACACGTGTGTGCGGGGAGGATGGGCGGGTGGTGTTTCAGCATGCGCAGGATGTGATTCTGGAGCTGATTTATACTGAGCCGGTGCAGCTGGCACAGGGGACTGTCTCTCAGATCAGTGGCCACCAGTTGATGAGCTTCTCAACTGTCAATGCTAAGAAAGACCCCAGCTGCAAGACCTGCAACATCAGTGTTGGGCGCTAACTTGGGCGAACATTCACTCACAGGCCCAATTGTGCATATAACAAGAAGACCTCCTGAACAAACAACCTTAGAATGCTACTTTACAGAACCAGATACAAATTAACCCCAAGATAATAGAATCCTCCAGATATGCGCATGTGGCACTCAGACACTTTTAGGGGCCACCCAGCCCCCCAGCTAATGCTAGAAAATTATATCTTTGCTCAATGAACTAAAAAGTGTTAAAAAAAAAGTGCAACAGAAAAAATAGAAGAATAACGCAAAAAAATTGATTCAAGACAAAAAAAAGGATAACAAATCAGGATTTGAATATAAAAAACACCTGAAAATTTTGAAAACAGAGACAAAGAGTAAAAGCAAAATTTCCACACACACAAAAAAAATAATCCCACTGTGAATCTTTCATGTGTTCTTGGTGCTTTTTCTGCTTGATATTCAGACCCCAGCCCTGTTTATCCCCAAACCATTTGTGACTTTTTATAACACAGTGACTCTCAGACAAGGATGTCTTGCTCAGTTACCGCTGTGGCAAACTGCCCGTGTCTCTTATGTTGGACTTGTACTGCATGAAGTCTGATCCTTTAAGCATATACATGCCACCTCAGCCTTTAAATCTTCTATATGGGGATTCATTACTCCTGTGGTCTACGTGCCCGCCGAGCCTCTAATCACCCGTGACATGCGCCTCTGAGGTCTTCTACTGCTTGTATACTGCCTATCATTACATTATACAGATGGCTGTGACAAAAAACAAATGCTTTAAGAGTTTTACGCCAACTGATCCTTGAAGCACCTACATGCCACTTCAGCCTTGAAACCTTCTCCTTTAACCTCAGTCTTTTCATTTTCTACTGATCGCAGTTCTCCTTTAAACTTTCTTACTCATTAAGCATTGTTATATTGATGTTCTCGTTTCATTGTTCTTGTTTTTATGTGTTGCAGTATTAATGGTGTGTGATGATTCCTGATAGAATGTCAAACAGTAAGTAGAACTGATTTGTGTATAACATATCCATTGGAGGACACAGCTATGTCCAGGTTCTTGAGGAGTTTGCACTGTCCTATCAGAGGCCTGATGGTGTCACTTTCTTGCACCCTCTGGTGGTGAAAAAGTTCAATTTCAGAGATGCATGTCTAAGATTTTGTGCTGTACTGTATCTGAACTTGTTACTTGTTCCTTAAGCTCCAAAAATAGAAACCAATGGCAGCAGACATGGATGCATTATTTTTAATTTTTTGAAAACTCTTAGCTGCCAGTGTCTTAAAATCTGTGGTCAACATTTAGCTATTGCTCAGAATAAAATATTAAGATATTACTTTTTTTTCACTATAATAAATTCTACACTTTATGTACTCATTAAATTTCAAACATTTGGGATCTGTAGGTTTTTGTGTGTGTGTGTGTGTTTAAAGAAGTACAATATACAATATAATACTGTAATATTGTAATACTGTAATAGCATTAATATTGCGAAACATTATTACAATTAAAAAAATAATAAAATAAATATATTTTAAATGTAATTTATTCCTGTGATGGCAAAGCTGAATTTTCAGCAGCCATTACTACAGTCTTCAGATCAGAAATCATTAAAAATATGCTGATTTGGTTCATTTTTTATGATTATTTGGTGATTCAAGACAAAAAAAAGGATAACAAATCAGGATTTGAATATAAAAAACACCTGAAAATTTTGAAAACAGAGACAAAGAGTAAAAGCAAAATTTCCACACACACAAAAAAAATAATCCCACTGTGAATCTTTCATGTGTTCTTGGTGCTTTTTCTGCTTGATATTCAGACCCCAGCCCTGTTTATCCCCAAACCATTTGTGACTTTTTATAACACAGTGACTCTCAGACAAGGATGTCTTGCTCAGTTACCGCTGTGGCAAACTGCCCGTGTCTCTTATGTTGGACTTGTACTGCATGAAGTCTGATCCTTTAAGCATATACATGCCACCTCAGCCTTTAAATCTTCTATATGGGGATTCATTACTCCTGTGGTCTACGTGCCCGCCGAGCCTCTAATCACCCGTGACATGCGCCTCTGAGGTCTTCTACTGCTTGTATACTGCCTATCATTACATTATACAGATGGCTGTGACAAAAAACAAATGCTTTAAGAGTTTTACGCCAACTGATCCTTGAAGCACCTACATGCCACTTCAGCCTTGAAACCTTCTCCTTTAACCTCAGTCTTTTCATTTTCTACTGATCGCAGTTCTCCTTTAAACTTTCTTACTCATTAAGCATTGTTATATTGATGTTCTCGTTTCATTGTTCTTGTTTTTATGTGTTGCAGTATTAATGGTGTGTGATGATTCCTGATAGAATGTCAAACAGTAAGTAGAACTGATTTGTGTATAACATATCCATTGGAGGACACAGCTATGTCCAGGTTCTTGAGGAGTTTGCACTGTCCTATCAGAGGCCTGATGGTGTCACTTTCTTGCACCCTCTGGTGGTGAAAAAGTTCAATTTCAGAGATGCATGTCTAAGATTTTGTGCTGTACTGTATCTGAACTTGTTACTTGTTCCTTAAGCTCCAAAAATAGAAACCAATGGCAGCAGACATGGATGCATTATTTTTAATTTTTTGAAAACTCTTAGCTGCCAGTGTCTTAAAATCTGTGGTCAACATTTAGCTATTGCTCAGAATAAAATATTAAGATATTACTTTTTTTTCACTATAATAAACTGTATCTGAACTTGTTACTTGTTCCTTAAGCTCCAAAAATAGAAACCAATGGCAGCAGACATGGATGCATTATTTTTAATTTTTTGAAAACTCTTAGCTGCCAGTGTCTTAAAATCTGTGGTCAACATTTAGCTATTGCTCAGAATAAAATATTAAGATATTACTTTTTTTTCACTATAATACATTCTACACTTTATGTACTCATTAAATTTCAAACATTTGGGATCTGTAGGTTTTTGTGTGTGTGTGTGTTTAAAGAAGTACAATATACAATATAATACTGTAATATTGTAATACTGTAATAGCATTAATATTGCGAAACATTATTACAATTAAAAAAATTATAAAATAAATATATTTTAAATGTAATTTATTCCTGTGATGGCAAAGCTGAATTTTCAGCAGCCATTACTACAGTCTTCAGATCAGAAATCATTAAAAATATGCTGATTTGGTTCATTTTTTATGATTATTTGGTGAATACAAAGAACAGCATTTATTTGAAATAGAAATCTTTTTTAACATTATAAATGTCTTTACTGTCACTTATTGAACAATTTAAAGGGATAGTTCACCCAAAAATGAAAATTTGATGTTTATCTGCTTACCCCCAGGGCATCCAAGATGTAGGTGACTTTGTTTCTTCAGTAGAACACAAACGAAGATTTTTAACTCAAACTGTTGCAGTCTGTTGACACTCACTCACACCATTGACACTCTATCTACAATCTCAATTAGGAATGTCAATGGTCCATTTGAGAGGTAGGTGGTGGTAATGCACTTAAGAAGAAGATGCGTCACATGCCGGCTGTCGAGGACGCGCTCAGGCCAGTTCAGACATTGCAGTGCATCTTAGGTAAAAAGCTATATAAATACTGTTCAGTTTCTTGCGCAGACTGATCAATGTATCGTCACGAGCCGCAGGGTTTAATTTGGTTTTGTTTGTGTATGTTTTTTTGACTCTCAAAGCCGTGTGTAACGTAGTTTGTAGATCGGGAAGAAGGAGGCGGGAACCGGCGAACACTCAAAAGAAACTTTAATAATAAAATACACTCAAAATAGTGCGACAGCCCCTCGCGGACGACTGCCGCGCACAAACGAAACCAAAACACAAAATAAAATCCAGGCCTGGTCCTCTCTCGTCTTTCCCTGTCGTCACTCCTCCTTTGTATCCTTCCGGAGCTCCTCCGTGAGACTCGAGACCGGTGAGTGGCGCAGGTGTCACGCATTCGCAATTACTCCACCGGCCTCGCTCTGTTCCCACGGCTCTCGGCCCCGCCCCTCTCGTTACACCGTGATTCCCATTCACTTCCATTATAAGACTGACAGACTGCAACGGTTTGAGTTAAAAATCTTTGTTTGTGTTCTACTGAAGAAACAAAGTCACCTACATCTTGGATGCCCTGGGGGTAAGCAGATAAACATCAAATTTTAATTTTTGGGTGAACTATCCCTTTAATGCATCCTTGCTGAATAAAACCCCAAATCTTTTAATGGTAGTGGAAAAAAATAAACCCCAGTTAGTGTGTTTTGTGTTTTCTGGGTATTCTGATTGTATATGGGTGTGTGTGTGTGATTGTGTTTGTCTGAATGTTTTGTCTGTATATACTGTATAAGTGTGTGAACTGTTTAGACATGAGGGTGGTGTGTGTGGTGTCAGCTGGAGACTGTTGAAAACATGACTGTTTGACTGATAAAGCAGCACCTGTTTGCTTAGTTCAAAAAATTTGACACAGGAGGTCTGTTGTATCGCTGTGCACTTCATTAGTGAAGAAAGGATGAAAAAGGAACAAAAAACGTGTTAATTGACAAATTCATGACTTTTATTGCCTTACTCTAATCTTTCTCTGTAGAAAATGTTAGTTCAAATTTGGACTCATGCACAGGACAGTAATCCAAATCAAGTTCTCGTTGTGTGAATGTGCCTCAAGACCGACAGACATGATCAGTAAATATTGTTTTTCTTGTTGCCATGTTTATGAATACCAAATGTGACTGTTCATTAAAGATCATTCAGAATGAGACTACTGTGTGTTTAGTGAGCCGGTATTTGGGAAGTCTTTCTTCAAAAATGACCTTTCTCATGCACATGCCGACAAGTTCTGCTTTTAGGAAAGTGGATGAGAGGAGCAGAAACTTGAGTAGCCTTCTACTTGATAGGATGAATTTGATCACTATTCAAATCACTATTCAGATCACTATTTGGCTTGTATTATACACACATCTTGCTACTGTGTTATTGTCTGGTGACAAATCTCGTGACTGACTGATGCAACTATCAAACTTATTTCGAGAGAGCCTGCCGCTTTGTAACCCACACGCTAATGTAGTATATATATATGAACATGAAGTAAAAACATATATGAAACTTATTAAAAATTTTAACAATTTAATATATTACCATATATATAGCCCATAATGTATGTGTTATACATTTTTGGATGTATCGATGTATTAAAAAATATATCCCAAAAACATAAACATACAGAATTTTTGTGTATATAATGTTTTAATAAAGTTGCATATATAAATAAAATCGATATTGTTGACATATTACTATAATAACATGTATAAAACCATCATATAGATATATTAACACCTGGCGTTTACAAATCTAGTATGAATTAGCGTAACCTAAATGTCCAGGATTGATTGTAACTCAGGGTAGTTTGGTTCATTTTTTATGATTATTTGGTGAATACAAAGAACAGCATTTATTTGAAATAGAAATCTTTTTTAACATTATAAATGTCTTTACTGTCACTTATTGAACAATTTAAAGGGATAGTTCACCCAAAAATGAAAATTTGATGTTTATCTGCTTACCCCCAGGGCATCCAAGATGTAGGTGACTTTGTTTCTTCAGTAGAACACAAACTAAGATTTTTAACTCAAACTGTTGCAGTCTGTTGACACTCACTCACACCATTGACACTCTATCTACAATCTCAATTAGGAATGTCAATGGTCCATTTGAGAGGTAGGTGGTGGTAATGCACTTAAGAAGAAGATGCGTCACATGCCGGCTGTCGAGGACGCGCTCAGGCCAGTTCAGACATTGCAGTGCATCTTAGGTAAAAAGCTATATAAATACTGTTCAGTTTCTTGCGCAGACTGATCAATGTATCGTCACGAGCCGCAGGGTTTAATTTGGTTTTGTTGGTATACCTATGATGAAAATTACAGGCCTCTCATCTTTTTAAGTGGGAGAACTTGCACAATTGGTGGCTGACTAAATACTTTTTTTCCCCACTGTATATATATATATTGTAATCTGTGCTAAACCGTCATGTTGC